AACAAGTGATCTAACTCCGCCTGAGAATAACCTTCCTTACGTAAGGATCTTAATATAAACAAGCACTTATTCGCCTTAATCAACTTTACATGCACATGACAATCAAAACGGCAATTATCCTGTAATATTAACCCAAGGACAGAAAGTTGACAAGTTTGTGGAATGCCGAAAACTGGCGTAAACACATTCGTACAGCTTTTCGCTCTGATAACTAGCTCCTTGCATTGTTTGCTATTACTAGACATACAGTTCTTCTCTGACCAGGATGATGACCTGATTGCGTGAAAATTGACGCCTCTATCATATTAGATGCGAAATACGATCAGAGATTAAGGGAATAGGGAATGTTGCAAGGTACTGGGTATCCAGCTGAGATAGCTGACTTTTACTCAGCTATCTCAGCTGGATACTGAGGTGGGTTTTTGGTTGCTAAGATCGTGCGGCTCGTTCTGGGTTCGTAAACAATAGCTAAAACAATGTAGCTACTCAGTCGACCAATCAGCACTTCTGACTGGATTCCGGACAGATTTTACGTCATCAGTGTGGAATTTCTGTCGCTAAGTCGCAGACGTTCCTCCGCGGGAAACGTCCCATCGGCGAAGAGCGAGGAGAAACGGATGTTTTCGTAGGCTAGTGAATTTGCACTGTTTCAATCTTCATCGATCTTATTCACTATCATTTAGTTTGCCAATAATGTTCGCGAAATTTTCTGGGGTTAAATCCGAAAGGACCGTATCTAAGTTTAGAAATGAGAAAGAAAATTGCTGTGTTGTGTTTACGTTCTCCTTAGGCCGGTGCGTGAAATTAGAAGGTTTCATGTCGCGGTAGTGCAACGACGACTGAGAAATGTACAAAAAAGTGTGACGTACGTGCAAAGTTGTTGTTTTGTAAATATAAACTTCTTGCTGTTTTGCCGCAGTCTCGTTGCTGTTGTCGTCGGGGTTGCTTAAGGTCCCTACTGTTGTGATCCAGAAATTTTACTACCATGGTAACGTGACGTCACACTTTTTCTCTCTATTGCCTGTTGTGGGCAAATGATCGGGTTTATCGGATCAATTATGTGGAAAGTTTTAACAGAAACATCTAAAATTTGTCACTTTTTTCCCTTTATACACTGTTTATATTTGAGTCTTTCTAATGTCATTAACCATAATTTTTTTGCGTCGAAATTCTCTTTTCTTCCTCAGATTGCTGGTCTTATGGATTGCAGATCAGAAATGGAGAACTCGCAAAAAGAGGACACTAATTCCGATGGCAACGGTCATTTATTCGATGTATTAGGTAAGCAGTAGGTACAACGCACATCATAATCCAAAAAGTGAAATACAGAAGAAGGTGCATGTCATCCGACAGTGGCACCCTTGCAACCACGGTTTCCTCCTAAATACATTAGAAACACTTTTTGGTCTATCCACTCTCTGGTCCGCAGAGGCTCCTGATGGGTATCTCAATAAAATTAGCAATAATCGAAAACAGAAAGCGTGCTGGGGACGATGGGAAGAGGGAAAAGGCTTAACAAAAATTTGGGTTAATTAAAATGAACTCCATCAAGGAATCGGCATGTTAACAGGGCAAGAGGTACACCTATTACAGGCACCAATGTCTGTCGATCGCGGTGATTGGCGCACAAAAATGGCACATGATTTACGTATAGGAACTGAATCTGTCGCTGAAGGCCGTCTTCGGTTTTTTGCAGGTAGATACATTGCAGGGTTTCCCTGTTTCCCTAGTTTACTCTGATTACCTGCTAGAACCATTTTGTTGGTTAGAAATTGTAATCAATTTAGAGGGTACCAAATGTTAAATAGCATCTGGTCAACCGTTTTTTCTTTCTTTGTTTTTGTTGTTTGTTTTCCGGTGCTGGGAACTAACTTAAGGAATTGGCCACCTGTTCGAAATATGATAAGGAGACAATTGGCTCCTACAAAAAAAAAAAAATTAATTCCATGCTATGGAAACGCACCTTCGAATAAACCAATTCATCTGAATGGTTTTTTAGTTTACTTTACACTCCCCACCGGCCCCCTCTCCCCAATTCAGGGTCTCTACAACTCGAGCTTGGTCACGCCCTTGGAGTTAGACACATAATTTGTTTATAAATTGCATAGGATGATAAAAAGATGCAAAACCAAGTCTCCCGCTCTTCTTTGCAGATCATTATCGCAACATTGCAAGTAACTATGACTACTTCTACAAAGAAAATCACCAAGGTTATATTCCTATCTTAATGAAGTGTTTGGACTTAAAGCCAGAGCACGTGGTCGCTGACATTGGTAGTGGAACGGGGGCCATTGCAAAAGATCTCTTTGAATTATCAGGGCTTCATAATCCTATTTGGTGTGTAGACCCCAGCGTGGAAATGCAAGAAGTAGCTCGACAAAAGAAAGGGGTTTACCCAGTTATGAAAACGGCCGAAGAATTTTTTGCGAACCCGCAAATCAGAGAGAGATTTGACAGAGTGCTAGCTACTATAAGTGCACATCATTTTGTTAATTCCGAT